CCGGCGTTGTTGTGGCTGATGTTGTTTTTCAGCAGATTTCTTGTCAAAACCATTATCTCGACATTTTTCTTGTGTCAGCTTAACACAAGTGACCACGACGGCTAGGACGAAAATAATTCTTGCCTTTAACATTTTGTTTGCTTTTTCAGCCGTTGTCTAACAAAAAAAGAAAAAAAAAAGGAAACCGGAGGCTGTGCGAGGAATGAAGTCGAATATAATCACGTGAGTGTCTAACGACAAAGTGAATTAAAAGAATATCGGTATTACTCCACGTCTTTCACCGTTTTGAGATAAGATCCTGAAATTTATTGCGACTCTTACGTTCTTTCTTTGGGGAAAAAGCGGCAAAAGGGGGGGGGGGGAGCTATTAATTACCACATCCTCATCGCGTAGCACTGTGTAATACTAGCCATGTATCAGTTATTTCGTGCAATTAGCTATCTTATGACATCGGTTACCTTGTAACATCAGCTATCTTGCAACATCACTGATATTGCAAAGTCAGTTATTTTGTCAGAGTAACTCGGCTAAAAGCGAATGTACAGTCTCGACTCAGTAAGAAGAAAAAAAGGGTTCAGTTACTGAATATTCGACACCTACAATCGAGTCATGACCTTAATAACTGAAATACTTCTGAGTTACTTTACCGGTCTTTCTCAGTGAGAATTACTACTCGTTTTCACCACAAAAATCGTAGTAAAAAAAAAAAAATAAGTCCGGCTTTTCGCGGAGCATTACAACTTTACCCCTTTATGTGGAGAATTAAGATATATGTAGGAGCATTCAAATCTAGTAAGATATACTTTGCGCGGCGTATGAACAATGCGCAAAACTTCCCGTTTTCTTGAGGTAAAAACGAGTATAGTAATTCTTACTGTACCACATCGGTGAAGTAACTCAGAAGCATTTCCGTAATAATTATCATATTAACTGAAATACTTATGAGTTACTTTACCAATCTCTCGCAGCGAAAATTGCAGTGGTTGCGTTATTTCGAAGTTTGGTAACCCGACACTTTCAAGTTACAATAACATTTCGGTCACCGTGACTGGAGCTTAGATACATTTCTAGCACTTTTAACGTACTTCGGTCATGGCTACTTTTTTTTTTTAAATTATGTTTCCGAGTGCACAAATCTATAACTTTTTTTTAGTCTCAATCTCAGCGCTTTCCTGTCAAATCTGGCGAGAAAAACCTGAATTTGTGTATTGTATTGCAATTTAATTTCCCGGCGAAAGGGGGGGTGGGAGTGGTTTCGGCTAAATTGAGCTGGGCCGTGGACGCAAGATCACTAAATTTAGCTGAATCTAGTGCGACTCCCGAGCGCAGCTCCAAACCCTGCACATTTGTGTCACTGGACCCACTGATCTCTGGGCATTGAGCACGCGCAGAAACCAGATTCGCATGATGTGGGGCATCTGCGCATGCGCTGTGCGCAGTGACGTCACCGCAGTTGCGTCAGATAGTTGAGTTGGTCTATAGGGGGCTGGTGGAGCATATCTGCTCCGAGTCTGGCTCAGGTGGAGCCACCGGAAGTTCTAAACTTGTTCCGGGAATTGGGCGCCTGCTGGGCTTCCTATAGTGCATTCAGTAGATGTTTATTTGGTCCACGCTCTCTTGTGTCTCTTGGGTGGATTTCAATAATTCAGTTTCGAATTAAACCCGGAGAGTGAGGCATGTGTGCCCTTGATCAACTAGAATCTCAAAATTTTCACATTGGATGGCTTCTTAGGAGTCTTCTAGGGTCCGCATGCACTGTTACTGCGCAACAAGCAGGCTCTCTTGAGATGGCGAGAAAAAATCCAGCGTCATGAACGCTGCTTGAACCGCCACTCGGAATAGTTGCTCACTTCCGGGACAAGCCGTTTACTTCCGGTGGCTTCATACTCGTTTCCTCAATGCGCTATTCAGCCCCCTATCGTGGAGATCAGTGTCTAGACTTTATCTATTGGATCAAGAGATTAAGACTCTATTTTGTAGACCGCCTTCTTTTGTCTCGTCGTGTAACGCCCTCCTCCCCCTTCTTAGTGCTTTTGTATTTTGGGGTTTGGATATTATCCTGATTTGATGTGCCGAAAACTGACGAGAACGGACGCAACCATCACAGCTTCCTGCTGCTGTACTGCGGCTGCGTGCTGGCGGCCATCACCCCTCACAAGTCAAGCCGTCGCTTTCCCTTTCCACTCCGAGACATTTCGGACGCCGTAGGTAAGGTTCACGAGACGACACCAAGCGTTCCTTAAAATAATCCTTGGAGGATTGACACCAAGGCTAATTTGTAGTTTGCATTTAGACAACTGTTGGATTAAGAAAAGACAAAAAGAAAGTTTTGCGCATTTGACATACACTGCGCGAAGTTGTGCTTGTGAGGTTTAGTTGCCGTGAAGAAGAAACGATACTTGGGGTGTTTCAAACGTGTATGTCTTGGTAAAAAACATATAGTATCTGTTCTGAAATGAACCTAGTTTAGTTCACTACATAAGAGGATGAAATCAGTGATGCTGCCCGGGGATACGGGCTTTTTTTTTTACTGCGGTTCTCGAGGCGAACATGAGCATAGAGACAATCGTGGCCAAGTTTCAAGAATCGCCGACAGAGTTTTGTTGTTTTCGAAGAACTGTACCCTCAACACGTCACAAACTGTTGCCACTGACAGGGCTAGAACTGCAGGAAGGTTTCTGAGGCGCCCTGTCTCCAGCGCTGGCTTAGTTCTACCTTCGACAGTTCCGTTAGGGGTTCCACTGATCGTCGGATAGGAGAGCCACATGCTGTGCAGTGAAGAGAAACATCCTCGCTCTTCTTCACTAATTAATCTTTGCGAATGCCTACACACTTACCGGTTTTTCATCTTCGTTTGCTTAAAACAGGCGCAATTTTAAGCACCTTTCCAAAAGCTGGGCACGCTTTGTGTGGAGGCTGTAACGGCTGCACTGCTACTTTCTGAAAGATGTGAAGCAGTCATTGCAGCTTTCACAAAAAATGTACCTCAGAACAACTTTCTTTAAAGGTGATAGAAACTAAACATTTCAGAAGGGTGTTTGAATTTACAACTTTCGGAATGATTTCTTTTTTTTTTTATGTGGAATTAAGAAAACACCAGGATTTACAGATTCGTAAAAATGTATTTGATATTTCACTTTTGGGAAGAGTACAAAAGCGATAAGAATAGAATAGAATAGAATAGTTTACTTCGGACATACATGCGGCTAGGGGGCCTGCAGCAAAAGAAGGCAAAACGCCTTCAAACGTGTGGTCGCCAGCACACCCCTCCCCCCCTCCCCCCGGTAGCAGTCAACAGAAACACCATACAATAATAAAGCAACAAAATTGAAATGAACATATACATCTATGAACCATTCAAATCAAAATCCTTCATATGAACATAATCAATACGTCACAATAAAAACCAAGAAATAGAAACGAACAAAACAAAAATCATGAAGAAAAAGCAAGAGAAAATTGCGTTCATTGACATTAACGTCGTCATTATCAACAATATCATCCAACGCACGTCTGACATTAACGTATCACAACACTTCATAACGCCATGAAAGTAAGGCATATTGAAGGCACTATATTTGCAATAATCACACGGGAAAGTTACATTCTCTCACAATAATTTAAGGTAGGCGATCAGCTTCAAAGAAATATGTTTTGACTTTTTTTTCTGAACGTGTGAATTGTTCTGCACTGCTGTGCTCTTTGTACAATGCTCGGGTGTCTATTTAGTAGGTTAGGAATTCGGTAATCTAGTTTTTGAGTTCCATAGTTAGTTCTAACGTTTGGTTTTGTGTGATGGGTACGCCTGAGATCGTATCCCGTAGGTTTATTAAAATAAATATCGAAGAAATATGTCTCATCATTCTTGATCTGATCAAAAATTATGATCGCCAAGGATGTAATGCTTGATTCGGGAAGGATGTCTAAAATGGCAGTTTTTCGAAGAGCCTTTCGGAACTGCACGTGCGCCTATAGGAAGTGTGCTAAAAATGAGTGGTGTGTGAAGAAATTTCGAAATTATTCGAAATTACATCTTTTGGGGAAAATGTTGAGAAAATTTTTACGATGACCTCTTAGAGAATGAATGAATGCTTTATTTTCCTCGTCCTACAAGAAAGATGTCAACTAGGGCGAAAAGCTGCCGCAAGAGCAACTTGACGGGGCCTTAGCTTCAAGGAGGCAGCTGTCAACATTATGTAGCTGTTGAATGTTGGTTGGGAAATAACATTTTTAGGTAAAAAGGTGTAGAGAAAGTTCTGCAATGACATTTTGGAAACGTGCGTTTTAAATTGCACTTTTAGGAGAAGGGTGTTAGAAATTAGTGCTTTGGAAAGGCTTTTTACGACGCCTATTGAAGGCGCTGAACATTTTACGAGAGGCGCTGCATCCCTCATGTTCTCTGACTCTGCGAAGGCAAACCGCGGTGAACATTGATGCTTTTTACTGCCTTTTAGAAGCTAACGCGTACTAGTCGGCGCTGTTAAAATATAACCCTCTTTGGCACGGACTTAATACCCGTGCCACACGGGCAACTCGAATGCCATTTACAACGAATGACATTTGTGTGATCGGCGAATCAGCTCGCAATCTGTCGCGCGTAGTATGCGGTACGCCCGGAGTGTCGCGCGCTGATTGACCGTCCGCTCAAATGTCATTCGTCGTAAATGGCATTCGAGTTGCCCGTGTGGCACGTGTATTAGACTGGCCATGGGACACATATATTTGGGCGCGTGAAATCCTTAATCATCAGTCACACTGATCGTATATAATTAAACAAAGACACGGTCTGCACAGATGATGACAGAATTATCTGCTTTCACGTCTCAAGCATGATCGAAGCACGTGTGCATTACACATACAGTTGCATTCTTCGAAGCTGTCTGAAGACAGTTTTTGTTTGGACCAATGTCCAATGTTTGGACCAATGCAGACTGTCGTTTGTGTGATGCATTAGCGGCACGACCGTGGCTTTACTCTATTTGGTTCGGTCACCGCGGGCCATGCAGGCTATCCGGCGGCTGAGGTAGACCTTCTGCGCCGCGTTCGGCCCGGCGTCGGCTCCAGGGCCGAGGGCATCCAGTTTGCGGCTGGAGATCCCGAGTCTGGTCCGTCGCTGTCCCTTGAGTTTGGACCCAGGGCCGACGCCAAGTTCCCGTACCGTCTCGTCCTCCCATCGGTGCTCTTCAGAGACTTCGCCCTCCACGTAAGTGCGGCGTCTCCGCAGGCCGTCAGACGTACGGGTAGCGTAGAGTGGGACAACGCAGAGCAGGAGATGAAGGTGGTTCCCAGACTATAGTTGGGTGTCGCGACCGTCCTCATAGCTTGTGGCGGCTGGTGCACCGAAGCTTCCACTGGCCATTTGGAGATAGATGGTGCGCGTACGTACATCGCTCGAAGTTTCCAGTAAGCAATAGATGCGATGTTCGGCTTTCGACTCTGTGCTGAAGAGTCCAAGACGGAAAGCCATGAAGCTTTGCTCATTGGAAGCGTGCGCAAGGTCATCGAGTTGAAGCTGGGAGCTATGGACATCTACTATTCTCATTCACCACAGCTGCAAACGTACTGTCCTGGAAGGCTCTGACCAAGCTATTCCTTTTTCCTCGAACCATGAAAAGTGCTGACAAGTACTGGTACATCGCAGGCGGTGTTCCGGCCCTACCGAGCGGGTCGAGACCTGCCAGAAGAGGGTGGCTTCGCCCGAGGCTTGAGCCGAGCCGAGCACGAAGCCGACGAAGAGTTCCTGTTTGCGGTGCTGAATCCATCCGAGACGGTGGTGCAGCTCGGCCTTGCCCTGGGGGACGGGGACTCCAGGGTGACGCTGTATTACACGGACGTGTCCATGCATCTGACCTCTCAGCGTCTGGCATCCTTCCGGCTACCCCCTCAAGCTACGGGCAGTCACGGTTGGCTGCGGTGAGTTAGGAATCTTATGGTACTAATGATGTGTTGATGATAATCATGATGATGCTACTGCTGCTGCAGATGATGATGATAGTCATGATGATAATAATAATGATGGTGGTGGGGATCGTTGGCTTCGCTGATTTATGAACGTTATGATGCTGATAATGATGACTATAATGATGCTGAAGATTATGCTAATAATGATGATGGTGGTGGTGGAGGTAATAATGGTGATGATGATCTGAGTTTTTTTTTTTTTTTCTACAGCAAGGACTTCAAAGGTTAAAGAGCGTCCGTTCAAGTAGACTAGAAATAACTGTGTCATCGGTGACTTTTTTGATTGTATGTTGTCCCGCTTAGATTAGGGTCAGGTCAGGCTGAAGACGGTTGACGCTGAGCGTGGCTTGAAAGACAAGCATAAACAAGCTGCAAATGTAAGTGGTGCTTGCGCTGCAAGACGAAAGAGCACCGCAAGCGCAAGCCGCCACAGGATTAAAAGGGTCGACCGTAACCATCCATAGAGGGGAGGAGGTGGGAAAACCTCCTGCAAATACGGGAGAACGGCTAATTAAATCATTTTGAATTAGTAAATAGAATGTGTCCGACGGTTTTATCTCCGTTTTCTTTTTCTACTTGCGTTACTATTGAAAAACATTTATTTTTTCGACCTGAAATAGATGTCCACAGATATTTTTATACGAGTATTTTTGCCGCAAAAAAATATTTTCACAAACTAAAATACCGGAGATATACAAAAATGTTTAAATTCTTTCCTTCTGTATTCTCGTCGATTGAAGATGGGGGTTCCTCTTTCATCACCCATCACCATGAGTGTACTTCTTCATCTCTCATCATCATAAGTGTATTTTTTATCACTCCTTATCATGAGTGTCAAGTGTTCCTTTTTCGGTACTTATGATCAGTGTCTCTTCCTCGTCACTCTTCATCATGAGAGTCAAGTGTGCCTTCTCTCTCACTCATCATCATGAGTGTTCCTTCTTCATGACTTATCATGAGTGTTGAGAGTCGCCTCTTCATCGCTCGTCGAGTGATCAAAAGACACCAAAACATTCGGCTTTGAAGGCAAAGTCATGCGATTGTGGTGGAACATTCTCGAGCCGAAAAGTGCTTGAGCCAGAAATTTATACCAAGCCATACTTTACTTCACATTCAGATCAAATTTCCGCTTTGTCGCCACCACAGTTCCTCTTCGTTGTAGCACGAACGCAAACGCACAGACTAAAAACACATCGTCACGACGCATTCTTCGCGCTTGGTTGGATCAGTACACGCGCATAAAAACACGAAAACAATTCCATGATCTAGCACTTACCAAATAGCTCGATGGACCCTGTCGGATCGCCGCTTCGTAGGTTTTTTCGCTCTGCGAGACCCGTGTGCACTGCCTCACGGAGCACTGCGAGTGCCATGGCTTCGATAAGCCGAGGTCACACACTGCTGACACATCCTACAAAGGACAGTCTGCCTACAGTGGGGCTGTTCGTTCCTTCTATGACGGCCCTGTCACGGTTTTCGCTCTGCGAGTCCCGTGTGCACTGCCTCACGGAGCACTGCGAGTGCCATGACTTCGATAAGCCCAGGTCACACACTGTTGACACATCCTACAAAGGACAGTCTGCCTACAGTGGGGCTGTTCGTTCCTTCTATGACGGCCCTGTCACGGTTTTCGCTCTGCGAGTCCCGTGTGCACTGCCTCACGGAGCACTGCGAGTGCCATGACTTCGATAAGCCCAGGTCACACACTGCTGACACATCCTACAAAGGACAGTCTGCTTACAGTGGGGCTGTTCGTTCCTTCTATGACGGCCCTGTCACGGTGGTCACACAAAATAAAGGCAGCAGGTCGTCTGCTTCTTGCGCAGGAGTTGTGGTGACGTCAGAAAGATGCCGTGCTCTGATTGGCTTTGATTGAAAGGATAGTGGGTAGACCTGAATGCTAGATGCCTTGAGCTCAACCCGCTTTTTTTTTTTTCAATCAGCCAATAACAGCTCGGCGTCTATCTGAAGTAGCCGCAACTCTTCTGCAACAAGCAGACGAACTTGCGCTTTGCATTCAGGCCCGTCTGCAGAGAATCCTGCAGTCGTCACTTCTGCGGCGAACATCGGTGTCTTTTGCACGACGTAGGAGTGGTCTGACTGCGGCTTTTGATGTTTGCAGACTGAGCGTGACGGCGACCGGCAACGAGGTGAGCCTCCAGCTGCTCAACTGCACCACCCTGGAAGACGTGCGGCTGGCTCAGCACGTGACCCGGATCCCCAAGGAGCTCGCCTTCGACGGGGCCTCCACTCTGTACCTGTCGCAGGCAGGACCTATTCTTGGCGGACGGTTTGTGGTGAGCGAGAGCGACGCGCTGGGACATTCGGCGGATAAAAAATGTCGACGAGGAAATTCGGCGGCTGTGATTGACCGTCGCTGCGTTTGAACTTCGCGCCGGTCAATCGCACCGGTCGAATCCCTCGCCGACTTTTTTTGTCAGGTGTTCAGGTTGGAGCTCCTGGTTGGTGGCGGCAAAGCTCCTCTGTACGAAGCATGTGACTTCACTGCCAGAGACGGTTACCAAACTTGAGAGCTACAGGAAAGGGCAGGATACCCTCTGCACCATGCATTTTGTATCACAGACCTTGTTCCTCTCGACGATATCATGTTGAAAGAAGCACCACTGCAGCGAGGATGTCACGTGCAGACATGTACTGAGAGGGGTGTGTAGCGGTTCATCATCTATGTGTGAAACTTTTCTTTAGGAACTTTTTTGGAGGGGGGCCGAGGTAGCTGGGATGCCCATCACTTGTGGCGCGGGGGGCAAAATGCAAGGGCATGGGTATATTATAGGATCGGCTGGATTTTTTTTTTTTTTTGGAAAAGGGGGGGGGGGGGGGGTTGGGGTTGAATCTTGAAAATTCCTTTTCCTGGCTACGGCACTGCACTTCACAAATATAACCCGTGATAGGCTATTTCGCGAGCGTTATTCGGGGGTGAAGTAACCTCCAAACTTGTTTCCCGAACCTGCCTCTGGGTGGCGTCTTTATTCGCGAAGGATCCGTGCTCTTGCCGGGCGACCACTCGCGAGTCGCAACCAACCAGCCTTTGAGCGCCGCCATTTCTCTCACGAACAGACCTCGTAGGGGAATCGTGACAAATACAAGAGTTGTGCTTATTTTATGACTCGGGCGTTAAGGATCTATCCATCATCCAATCTCGATGGCGTTTTCAGGGACGCCTGCAGACGCTGAGGCTGTTCAGCGTCCCGGTCCTGGTACCACTCTGCCAGGACACCATCGGCTTCCAGGTAAGCAGGTCTTCGGGGCAAGTCGACTTAATATCGGTTTCTTCATAATCGCAGTTACGCGAGATAAAAACCTGCTTCAGGAAAAAATGTTCTTAATAAAGATGTCATGAAACGATTTCTCTACTTTCGCTAAGTACTACTTAGAATCCCTCCTAACGTTAATAACCGAATGAACTTGCCTTCGTTTTTCTTTCTAAACAATGGCAGTCGCCAGAAAAGAAAAGAAATCGAGAAATATGAGCATTGCTTATCCTCAGAACTCGGAACTAAAACAAGCGGCCACGTCGCCTGTTGCCTATCCTATGCCGTCAACGTTAATCATAGCCCCGCCCTGGGGTTCGCCAAATAGAAAACGCGTGCTGAGCTCCAGGCATTGTAAGAGTTCGGCTATTCTCATCACAGCAGTGGTTGGACACGAGACACCACCCGAGTGTCCGCCCAGGCATTGATTGCATGCTACTAGCCGAAGTCGAGTGCTCACGCCGTTCTCGTGTCCAATCCACGAGCCGCGCTCGACTGTCGTCGGGCGGGTGGTTTCAGTCCCTCAATTATGTCATCGACCTTTCCGAAAGCAAAATTGAAGGAGATTCAGAAGCAAAGAAGCTTCTGAATCAGTGGCGGTCTGTGCAAGTATATTTGGGCTAGACTAGGACCAGTACGCCTCTGCAAAGTTATGATCATTCCAACCAATTATCATTTCATGACCCCTTTAAAAAAGGGGCTGTGCAACGACATTGGGTAGGAATATTTCTTACTTTACACCAGCTTCCTGGCACTAGTGGGACCCAAAAATACTCGAACGCAACACCACTGACCAAGAAGTGTCTTCGTCGCGGCGGAATTCAAAGGATGAAAGCGGAGCTTTTCTTTCAGTCTCTCCTTCCCAATCCGCCTTTTGCTCCTTCGCGAAATTTGATGACGGAGCTGTGGGGACAATGGCAACAGTACGATCCCCGGGAATGCGTCATCGAGCTTTGCGGTGACGATATTCAAATGCTGCTCACACAGTGGACGCGAAGACTGCGTACGCATTCGATCTGGGCTTGTGATAATTACTAGCTCGAGAAGCATTCGGGTAGTGGCCCGTGTCCAATCGCTGCAACGACGACAATAGCCGAGTTGGCAAAGCACAGGCATAACAATGCCTGTGCTTTGCCAACTCCAGCGCGTGGCTATGATCAACATTGGCGGCATATAATCGGCTTCAGATCACGTGGCCGCTTGTTCTGGCTGCGAGTTGAGGGGGTAAACGCTGCTCGTTTTTCTTTAATTTTTTTCTGCAACTTCTATTGGTGTGAGGTGAAAAACGAACGCGTGTTTCATAGGTCGTTAATGTCGGGGATCCGTTTTAAGTGATATTTGCGCAAAGTACAAAAATTGTTGCACCGCCCCTTTAAGGATAATTTACTGCACCGACCCATTTCGCTTTTTTTTTCCCCCTTGGGCACACTCGTCTTGAACAAAATGATTTATTTTCATACGCTCTCCTCCTTACTTCGTTCATTGTTTATTTGTTCGTTACCTGGTTAACCGACAGACAGTCAAATATATATATATTTTTTTTTTTGCTAAAGCAGCTAAGAGATATTTATTGTGATTTCCATGCGCTGGGTTTCGCAAAGGCAATACAAGGATAAGAACCATCTTTATCTTTCCTCCCTAGTACGCAGCTGTTTTTTCTGCGGTCATGCGAGAAAACAGAAAGCTTCCTTTCCGAAACAAAAGCAGAGGTCTTGGAGATAGATGAAATACTTCGCTTAGTCTGATTTTTTGGTGCTGAAACCCAAGACGTACTGTAATATTTCGGCCTCAGAAATAGTCTCAAGGAAAAAAAGACCTGCAATTAATATATATGCATTTGCGAAACCAGGCGCGCCACCGGAGGTTGAAATGACGTCGGACTAAGGAGTCTTAGAAGACACTTTTCGCGCTCCGATTACGATACCTAATAACGATACAGCATCGGAGTTATCGAAACAATGTACTAAAAGTCCTTAACGATGACGTCATTGCGACTTCCGTTTCGTGGCCCTCCGACTGCTACTGTGTCAAGACAGTGACAATGATGATGAAGTCTTCGTCTGCCTCGCATGTTCCTTGAACACCTGCTGTGTTGATAATGGTTTCAACCGTAGAGCGACGCAGCCCCCGCACCGCGGCTGGAGCCCCTTCAGCAGCAGCAAACCCCGCACCATTCGGGAGACACGGAACCTTGGAAGCGGTCTATCAACGTTACTGCTCCCCAAGCCACGAAGGTGTGGACGCATGGAAGACATATGTCCCCTATATTATCCTTAACACAGTAGTAAAAAGTTCCCAACCAGACAGAAAAACAAAAATAATATTAATCGCAGACATTTACACACCTTCACTGCTTTTCTCTGCCTAGTAGTTTCTCTGGTAGACATTTTGTTTTTTATTATTACGAAATACTTTGAGGCAAGTTGTACAGGTGAACAAACTCGTACCTTTGATAGCACAGATTTTTTTTTTTTTTTCATATTCAGTGTACGATTGTTTGCATGCACTGGCCGGAACTCGTTCATATTTCATACTTTTTTTTTGTTTTGGTACGAACTGCTTCTTAGGGCGAAAAAGGAGACATGGGCAGGCCAGGTCCACCAGGCTACCAGGGAGTGAAGGCGAGTAGAAACGTGGAAGTTTCACGGACGCCGTTCTTTGCGTCACTCTGAAAAAGCTCGAGTACTTGTTAACCATGTAGCATATGGCATGGAAGCTGCGACTGTTGAAAATCACAACCAAGTATCTCCAGTTGCTCGAGTGGCACAATTTTACGGGAGTAACATTAAAGAGTGTTACTAAATCTGGAATCGGTTCTCAACACTACTTAATCAGCTACACGAAAGTGAACGTATCTTTTTTCGTCTTTTTCAATAGAATACATTTTGGGAAAGAATTTTTTTAGATTAGAGGGTCTTTGAATAGCAGCCGGAATTCATCTGGCGTTTAGAAAAAAAAAAAAAATGTTTGGCCGCAGTTTATCCAAATTTTTTTTTTTCAACCACGAAGAAAAAGAATTTTTTTTATCAATCCGTCGACAGAGCCTCACCATAACGTTCCGTATCAATATATATTTCTTCCGGTCTTTTTCTATCGAATACGTTATGGGCTCGGCTAAGTATACAAAATGACGGACATAAAAAAGCGACACAGACAGTGTGATGTCATCCGCTAAACTTAGCGGGCTTACACTGAGGTTTCGTTATTCCCCATCTTTACCGGGCTTCCATCAAAGTGACGTCCTCCACCAAATTCAGCGTGCTTACGTCCTGTGGAGTTTACCGGTTGGTCATTATGGGAGGTTACCACATCATATCTCTATTCCTATATACGTTGTAACTCTTCTCAGAGACTCCTGTCGGCGTTCTTGACCAGTGTTGAGTCCTACCTTCCATCAACAGGGCGAGAAAGGCGAGCCCGGGGCTAAGGGTGAACCTGCAGCCCTAGCGGGGATCGACCCCGACCTACTCTTTCCTCAGGTAAGGAGTTTCAAAAGCTAACCTATTGACTCTAGCTGCGCCAGAATTGAATTATAGCAATGTACCGCACACCTTCTTTGTAGTATTTCTAATAGTTCAAAGTAAATTTGGCTATACTTTGGTTTAGTGTAGCTTGGCAAGGAGTGAAGGATTCAATTTTATTTTGTTTAAAATCAGAACCGCATGTGGAAGACCGAAGTGGGGATTGATACGACGTCCATTTCCACACAGAAAGGAGACAAAGGAGACCAAGGACGCCGAGGCCGGAGAGGACATCCAGGTCCTCCGGGACCTCCGGGACCTCCGGGACCATCTAGTCCCCCGGTACGGTCAGTTCTGCTGCCGACTTATACCAGGGCTGCTACGTGTTGAATCGCCATTTGAGCCACGTGCTCACGGCAAAAAAGACTCATTTGTTTTCCCGTGATCTAGATTCGCTGAGGTCGACTTGATGCTTCATATGGTCCTGTTACACAAGGCGGACATTCATCCAGCTTGGCCGGCAGATATGACATATGTTGCGGGGTTGAGACCTTTTATACGTTTCTACCATGTAGCAAAATACAAACGTATTTGTCAACAAGCATGCAATATACCGCTGAAGTGGTGTCTAAGCCGCTTTCGCCAGTTTAAGCAGCCAATGCTCGGTTGGTGAAACTCTGCTCCGAAAGCGGTTACGTTTTTGTTTTTCCGCGATGCAATAGTTCGTTTCTTTTTTTTTTTTTTTTCCGACTAGACAAACGGTGTGCCACTAGACGAGCTGCTTAACAATCTATGCAT